TCTACCCGCTGTAGCTCCCTGCTATTCGACCTCCCGCCTGTATCGGGCGTCACACGGGTTGATGCTCGAAGATGGATATCGCGGACTGCAGTAAGCCCCGCGCCGTTTCTAGTTCTCCTCGACGGCAATATAAATCTCCCAGATTATACATGCACCGGGCTTCATCGCTTTCGTTCTGGCTATCGCGACTGATCGTGAACGCTCGCGTGTATGTTGTGATAGCTTCCGAATACGCCTCCGAATAGTACTGGAGTGTGCCCATCATGTGTAGCAGTCGAACACTCGTATGCGGGTAGTCCTGTGCAAAGTTGAGGGCATAATCAAGCAATGTGACATCGTGGAAGCTCATGTTGTCGCAATGTTCAGAAAATAATATGATTGCCTCTAGTATTCGTTCTCGGTATTCGCTCAATTGGACGTTCAAGCAATGGCGAAGTACGGCAGGTATATTGCTGATCTCAGGACGAATATGAACCTCGGCATGAGCCGAATACATTGCGCCATAACCGAGCACTTCGTGATCGGTGAGATCACAATATATCTTGGCCAATGGAGGCAGGTCTTCGACAAGAAGTGGATAGCGGGACAGGACGTAATGGCGGATGGGCGACAGAATGCGTAGAAAGCCATTCTCGGACAGATACATCAGAGAGCACTGCCTGAGCAGCGAGATCGATCTCTGGAATCCAGGTAACACAAGCGTATATGCATCGCTAAACACCGATACCCGGCTTTCGAGCAAGCCTTGAGGAAGCAAGCAAATGATCCCCAGGGTCCGCACAGCGTCGACCTCATCACGAAGCCGCGGTCCCCGAAGGGAAAGCTCAATGGAGTATTCAATGTTTGACAACCTGTCCTCCGAGTCGTGCGTATGAAGGACACGAAGATTATCGCGCTCCCAGCGCTCCCAAAGCACTTTGGGTGACTCGCTCGTGGCAAGGTTGGCTAGGAGAGCCACCGCGAGGGGCATGCAGTCGACGCCCTGTACGAGTTTGTCCGCGAACTCGTCGTGTACTTCGCATATATCCATCCATGTCTGTATTGCAGCATCGAATGATAGAGGTGTGATGGGCGGGAGATAGGGATGCGTCCAGGCAACGTGCATAGGTCGGCGTGAGCCACGAGTGGTGATGATCAGAGCAAGATGGCGGAACGAGGCAAGCGATGACAGCAGAGTCTCCGTCGCGCGAGTCTCGGCATCCCAGATCGTTTCGAGGTTATCGAGGCAGAGAATGGTATCCGAGAGACCTTGCAGATAGTTCATGAGCGCATGCTGCGGTTGGACGCCCTGCGCAGGGTCAAGAGCCACACCGAAAGTAGACAGTAACTCCAAGATGACACCCTCCACCGAAGTAACAGTCTCGCAGGATGCGAAGAAGCGTTGTTTAGCGTATTTCGCTTCGACATCATGATGATGAAGAATGGTGAGTGCGATGGAGGTCTTCCCGATACCGCCCGGTCCTAAGATAGCGACGCGAGCAGGGGGCTTGTGCAGAACTAGGTCGAGAATGTGATCAACTTCTTGAGCACGCCCGTAGAATATCTCGGGGGCAGGAGGAGGGAGCTTGGCAGAAGATCTGGAGAGCACGGTTAACATGGGCGCGCAGAGGTAGGTTATATGCGTACATGATTACGGCAGGAACAACCGGGCGAGCCTGATACCGCCATCAGATCATTCTAGCTAGACGCATATGATGACGTAGAGAAGCGCACCGCATACTTCGCGACAAGTTCGTGTACATCTAGGCGTGTACCGATGTTCAATTTGGTCTGCACATATCCCTTGAGTGCGATCGTATAGACGCAAAGGCGTAGCACCCACATTGAAGAGCTCGAGAGCCGCACTCATATCCCTGCCGCACTTCTTCACATCACCGGCAAGATCGGCTCTGTTGATGAGGACGCGAAGGCGATCCCTTTTCCTCTTTGAACCAATCCCACATGCATGCAGTGTATTGAGAGATGTGAAGATACACCTGTTGAAAGTCAGTGTGAAAGAAGGCATTGCGAGCATCAACTCACCTCTCCAACTCTGTAAACGCCTCAACGAGGTCCTGCGGTAACGTCGAGTCACCCGCTTCTTTCCTCTCGTGCTCCCGTTTCGTCTGGTCGACGATGCTCTTAATCTTCTTTGCATCGGCGATGATAGACTGCCAGTCGTCTCGAACCGCATTGGCCTCCTGCGTCAGAATCAGCACTAGCAGGGCCAAGGAAGTAAAAGATCGCCAACGTCTTGAATCTTGAGAAACACGGTGAGAGCGCTTGACACGGCGCCGAGGTATGGAACGTTCTGCGTCAGAGACGCAGCGAGACCTAGAGCATCGACAGCGGCTTTGATGGCACCTTTCGCGTCCTTCTTCAGACGATCCATGTCTATATTGACCGTCAATAGGGCCCATCGTCCTGCGGTCCCAAAATCTGATAACTTACCGGGACCCAAACGGACAGGCGCGCTCCCGGCACGGGCTGATTCGCCCCCGACAGTCGTCATCTTGGGCAAGAGAGCACTGCGAAGAAAGCGTTTCTGCTGCTTTCCGCAATGATAGCTGGAGTAGAGTTTGCTCTCGGGATGCGCTCACGCATCTCACACGCGCCTCGTGGGCTTTCGGCCGGGCTGTACTAGGACGCCTGAGAGCCGAGGTCCAATACGTTTCCGAGCCCAGTTCTGACCCTAACCCTACGGTTTTTCGTGGCCAACGAGCCACCGCGCGTATCGGACTTCTGGCCGGGCTTTCGGGGGTTCTGCTGTAGCACGATCATTTACGAGCTTGCGCCAAGGAATGTCGGGATCTCGAGATCCATATGGCATATAGAATTTGGTCGCCGGACTAACATGCGCATGGGAAGATGTACATTCTCGGAAGGTGACCAGCCATGGTGGTCGACCGCAGAATTCGAAGGCGCCGCGGCGCGCAAGACGCGGAACCGCGTCGCGTACAGGCTTCCCACGCCCTCGCTTGGGCTTTGGCGCCCATTACTCGTCGCGCGGCGTCGAGACCACCCATGGGCTTCTTCTCCTCCCTACGCGGCACAGACAGCACCACCACTAGCGTCAATGGCGAAACGACGGAGAAGTCCGCGCAGAAACAAAAGACAGTGATCCGTTCGCGCTTCGTGCGTTCCAACCCTCTTTCCGTGGCTCTCACATGCTCAAAGCGGTCTTGCGCGCACAGTACGGGTCTACGAGGAACAAGAAGGCGCACACTCAGGACGTAGAGAGGATTGGCAGTAATGGGGCTGCGAAGAGTGTGGGCGGGGGAGTGGATGAGGTTCCTATAGCCGGACCGTCGAGGACCACGAGCGTGCGCGCGCCCAGTCCCCCGCCTCCGCCTCCTCCAGCACCGACACGGCAGCCTCCCCCAGACCCCACGCCACAACGGACGATCCATCACAGCCAGAGTCAAACTCTACCGCGCCCTCGACCGCCAAAGGCAAATCCGGCACCCGCGGCGCACAGGGCAAGCACGACGGCCGTCACGTACGTTGTGTTTCACGCTTGTGTTCGCACTCATATGCTATAACGGGTTACGGCCGCATCCGTCCCGCCGGCTTGTGTCTTGCATTGCGGTTGGAATGGCGCCATGATGTCTGCTATCCCGGTGATCGTATGCAGCGCTGACTCTGGCTCCGGTTTGGACAGTACCGCTCTCGCAACTCGGCTAGCTGAACTCGCTGCCGCCAACGCCGCCGGATTACTCGAGTGCGTGCATTACTATCTTCTCTGTGTATTGGTACTAAACATAGCTTCCAGCGACGACGAGTATCGACTCCTACGACAGAACCTATTCGAGCGCGTGCCCGGCGCGGACGCTGTACCCCAGGAGGAGCCGCTCGTCAGGATACGTGCCCAGCCGACGAACAGAGAATCCGTCGGTACGTCCACCTCCCTGCCCACCATCTTCCATAATCTGTCAGACCGGCGCTAATCACACCTCCCCGTAGCCCGACCACCATCACAGTTCTCCACGCACACAACAGCGCCCTCCCTAGCGCCCACAAACCGCTCGCGAACTTCCGTATCCAGTGCCGTCGGCAGCCTCTTCCGCCGCGCCACGGGCCGCACCTCGAACGGCAATCGGATGAGCGTCAGCGTCGACGACGGCGATAACGCCGACTTCGCCGTCGATCCGGCTGTCACGAACGGGAATGGAAGCAACGGATGGGCGGGGACTGTCCGAGGAAGGTTGGGCGCACGGAAGACGTCAGAGAGCAGTCTTCGCGACGATGCGGCGAGCACATACTCGCACTCGCGCCGGCGGCCCAGTGCGCCGCCCAGCGCGTTCAACTCGCCGTCGGCGCATCACAAGCCTCTACCCCCACCTTTAACGACATCATTATCTTCAAACTCCATCGGCCGCTCGCCGGCGACTTCACACCCTGGCCTGCCCGCCTCGTCCAGTATGAATGGGGATTTAGCGATCGAGCGGACGAATATTCTCGACGACGCGCTGGACGACGCGCATCTCAAGTCTGCGAGCGCGATTAAAGCCGAGATCGCTGCGCTCGAAGCGGAGGGCCGGCGCGTATCGCGCGCGTTTGATGGGCTGGAGCTTACGGCGCTTACACGGCGAGCGCCGCGGACGCCGATAACCCCTTCGGCATCTGCTTCGGCACAGCGCGCAGGCTCGATACGAAGACCGACGACACCGTCTGCATCGCTACATGGTCATCAGCCTACGACGCCCAACTTACCACCACGGACTCCTGGAAGTACCAGGAGAGCATTCCCGTGGCCACCGGAGGACGATGCTAGCAGTATGAAGAGCGGTGTCAGCGCGACTTCTTCACGCTCGAAGCGCGCTCCGCGTACACCGCGCACACCAGGCGGTCATGGATCCTCCACATTATCGACATCCGCGTCGTTCCCTCTTCTTTCCTCGGGCGGGAGCCTGAGCCGACGACCATCAGCTTCGTCTGTGTCAAGCAATGCGCACTCTTTACCATCGCATGGGCACGGACCGAGCAGACTGGGACGGCTCGCGGCGGCTGGTGGCAGTTCAAGCTCGTTGAACCTCCGCGGAAGCAGCGTCCACCTCCCCCTCGCGCCCGTCCGCGAACGCGACTCGACCGAACTCCCGCCCTCCCTCTCACTCGACACCACCCACTCCCCCGACGCCCTCGGCCTCGGTCTCTCACCCTCGAGCTCCGAAGGCGGACTGAGAGTCGGGGCGAGGAGAGGTGAAGATGGCGAGGACGTCGAAGCTGCTGCGCGCGAAATTGCCGATGTGCGGAGGAGGAGAGCGGAGGTTGTGGGGAGGTATGAGGAGAGGCTTGAGTATCTGCGGGCGAAGTTGAAGGGGGCGGAGTTGCATGAGAAGTTGTTGAGGAAGTGACCTCGCCGTTTGCTCTGTCACCGCCTCTCTTTGCACTTATTCCTCTCCTTCCCCTTCTCTTCTCGTCCTCAGTTTTATCCCACTCTACTCTCCACCCTCTGCCCACGTACCTCGCGCATACCCAACCCAACCCCGCGCACATAACCACACCGCCTGACGATACCCCCGCATACGTACCATACATGCCTACGATTATTCACGATACCAGCCCGATCCTTTCGTTCTCCGGTTTTCTCTTCGCTCACTCTACGGATCCATGTAGGATTTCTTTGAGATCGTCATACATATGTATATCACCAGTCTAGACAGCACGATGTCATAGGGCACTGAGACGTGGGGGCTGCAAGCTTTGGGTACAGCGCCGGATGTACTGTGCAGTGTGCTCGAAGAGCCTGCGCCCCCCGCGCCCGCCTGCGCCTAATCGGCATCCGGGCCGACGTCCGCCGGCCGAGTTCTCCGCATTCTCAACCTCCACCTCGGGGCTCGCAACTTCTGCTTCCGCCCATCACAACGGTTCAATGCATGCCTGCGCGCCTCACTCCCTAGACTCTCCAGAATGCACCATCCGCCTCGACCGACCCAGGATCGATGGACGGCCAACAATGAAGCACGCCGAGTGTTCCCCGACAGTGTGACGCGTGTGTCTGCCTGATAGTCTCAGAGGTCCACTGCCTCCTGCATTGAGTCTATGCGCTCATTGTCGGTGCGGTATCAACTGGGTACAGGAAAGGGAATTAGGTGTCGCGTTTGCGTCCGGGGTGCTTCGGCCTTGAGATAGCGTCCTCGCATGTGTTGGGTCTTCGACGCGGCACTCGATACGGCACAAGATGCGCGAAGTACACGACTACACTTGTGCACTATAGGGAGACTGCCCAGTCCAAGGAGTACGCATTGTATGCTTCCCATTGGGGTCTACGAGCCATAAGCCGAGGACCTCGAGCCTCGAGCGCGCACAAGGGCTCAATCGGGAACGCCCCTACGATGTGATGCAAGAGCGACTCGGTCTGCGCCACCCATCGCCCGCATCCCCGCGTCCTCTCCGAGGCTCTACTACCTTATAGTCGAGCTGTATGTACCACATCCCAAGACCGCCAGTACTCGCCAACGCAGACACCCTTCAAACTTCTCGTACGCCGGTCTTCACGTAGAACCTTCTACCGGCAACTATGATGTCGTATAGTAAGCCTAGCTTCCCAGACATCATCTCGGACTCTGAACTGACGTTCGTGGTAGATGCTACCGATATTCCACCCGGCGAAACCATTGACGACGTCTCGTCCTACGGTTATATTCCCACGCGGGCCAGCGCCGCCGTGTTCCTCACTTTGTATAGTATCACCACAGGTACTGACTTTCCCCGATCTCATGTATTGTTATGGTCTGACTCCTTCTAGCGTTGCATCTTGCACAAGCGATATACTTCAAACTCTGGTTCCT